ACTGCCAGATATTTTATTGAATGAAGCATTTTCGAAAATATGTTGTACAACTCAAGAGCAAATTCGTTGTACAATGGAAGCACGTTGTCAACACCTCAGAATTACCGCTGTGACAGCAAAATTCAATAATTTTGCGGGATATGAGTTTTTTCATGGAAAGAATAATATGGCAAATACAGAAGAAAATTTACGCCAACCGCCAAATCGAATTCTTTGGTATTTTGCACTACTTACACTAACTATTCCCACGTTAGAAAATGCGGTGTAGAACGTGCTTTTCCGTTCCCCACTATAAATCTACCGTCCCAAGATTGCAATAAAAAGCGACATACAGTACCACTCGTAATTTGTGGAAAAAATCATCGCCTTCGCCGGTGTTCACCGAACTTTGATTGCTCGCTATCTTTTGCTTCGGAGTGAAGGATTCTCAATTTGAAAGCACCATTTACTTAATTCTCCAAGGTGCATCTTTTACATAGCAGTGCCTGTTTGGGCATCGGTCAAGTCCAGGAACCCATCCAAATTTTTGCTTCTGTAGGTTAGGCTGTGCAATAATTCAACACTCTGAGTATTCCACCGAAGCGAAAATTTGGAAGGATTCTCAAAATTTGACCGACTATCGTGCTAACGCATTTCTATATATAAGAACGCATCTTGTCGAGCCGTGTTAATTGTGTTTTTAAATAAAAAAAAGTCCACTCCGAAGCAAGATATGGCAATGCAAGCAAAGTTGGAGCAACTCCAGCGTAATACGGTGATTTTTTTCTACAAATTACGAACCGTATTGTATTAATTCTCCCCGGCAATTCGAGTGTAAACTTCATTTAGTTATGAAATTTACATACTTGAAAGAGAAAAAATTACGCTCAAATCATACAAAATCTAGAGAGATTCAATCCCGTGTTGCACCTATAGTTTCTGCTTTGGATGTCCAACAACAAAGCTAAGGATGAGCAACGAATATAACCTAGTTGAACCTTTGCACTCCTACCCTCCCTCCTTTCGCCTTCCAGTAAATTTCTTTCTCGTCTCCATCGGTATTTGAGGTCCGATAAGTTTGGCATGAGCATCGCCCTGACCGTGAGGATATTTGATCACTTTCGCCCCAATGGTGGTTAAATGGCGCTGGGCAACTGGAACAATTAAATTTTTTTATGAATAAAATTAAGAATCTGGAGTAAAAGTAGTCACCAATTGTGAAGGCTTAATTCTTTAGATGAATATGATGCAGTGAACAGAAAGGATTCCCTTTTCAGTAACGAACAAGGAAAGAAGACGGAGATCCAGCAGTTACCTCCTTCAGAATTTGTTTATATATTATGAACATTCTTTATTGTAGTCTTTTGAACTTCGATTTTACTGAAGAAAAAAAACGTAGCGGTGCAATTTTGAAAGCTATCACAATCAGGTCAAAGGTTTCTAGTTTACACAACATTCAATGAAAGTAAAACTTTCATACAAAGGAACGCTTGGAGATAGACCTATAATCAAACTATCATTGGCGATAGCCTTATAAAAGAGGGTTTGCCTAAGTTTCGCCATTTTGTCATGGCCTTGCCTTTGATCATCATTGCAATCACTGTCATCGTGCAGGTAATACCATTTAGTTGAAATAAAAATTTTTGCGTTTCATTTTCAAAGTGTAACTTTTCGATGTACCAAAATTCGTTGGGTTTCCAATATTGTTAGAAACAGAAATGTTTTCGCAACAGCACCTATAGAGCACTTTCATCAAACACTGTGGAAATAAAAATGGAATATGGAGATTACCCGAGCTTCATGTTTTTTTTAATGGGTCCTCAAGAACCTAAAATGTGATAAATACAAGTGTCAGTAAAATTCCATGACTACTCTTTTCAAGCAAAAGCTCGTATAGATCTTGTGGGTTTCGGGTTTACTATGGAAAATGGCGGGATCGATTACTCTGTTATTTTTTAGAATTTCAACTTTTCATAAGGAGATCAGCACACATTTTTCATACGGTAAAAGTGGTAAATAAATTTTCCGTACCAATGTTTCGGATTTTTCTTTCAGCGTTCTAGATTTTTAGAGACCTACAAAAATAACCAAAACATACGTGAACTTCTTCTTTCATTTTTTATCTCAGTTGTGGCCTGACTATTTTTCGATGTAGAGGGGTGGGGAGACGATACAAAGCCAGACTTTCCAAAACTTCGAGACGCTCAAAATTTCAGCGAAACTTTTTCTTAAATTTTTATAAGGGGCTGACAGCAGCAGCAAACTTATGAATTTTCAAGAATGAAAGGCAAATCTTCCCCTTCTCTTTCAACCTAATACACTGCTAGTCCTTCATATTGAATCCATTGAGGCATGTCCTCCTATGAGACCCTATGCTCCTATGCAACCGATTCCCGATCCCTATGGGTACGGCGGCGGTTACTATCCAGGCGGTAGATGGACTACACGATACCCTTATGGACCTGGACCTACTCTTCCTACCGTCCGTCCAGTTGTTCGAAATCGCAAAGCGGAACGTGTTCTGGTGACTGTAATTAGCAACTTGGACTACGATCCAAAGTTGAATGATGCTCGTCTACATGCAAGCAGAACTTGGGTAATTTTTCTGGTAGAAATAAATTATCAGAAAAATTTTGAAAGAACTGTTCCAGCTCGAAAGTACACTCCAATCCATGGGCGTGATGAATAAGACGGAGTCCATTCCCGCACAAGTGGCCACTGTTGATGGCAAATTCTCCGTTCTTTACACTATGGAGAAATTCGATTGCGAAGAGGTG